TTATTCATCCCCACTAGACCATAAGCCTTTTAAAGGCAAGATCTAGATGTTTCCCTTGTTAAATGGCCTTACACTCTTTGCTTAGAGTTTATTAAGTTAAATATATGTTTCTATGTTTTATTTTTATTTTTATTTTTATTTTTTGAGACGGAGTCTTGCTGTGTCATCCATGCTGGAGTGCAGTGGCGCAATCTTGGCTCACTGCAACCTCCGCCTCCTTGGTTCCAGTGATTCTCCTATCTCAGCCTGGCATTATAGGCATCTACCACCACGCCCGGCTAATTTGTATATTTTTAGTAGAGACAGGGTTTTGCCATGTTGGCCAGGCTGGTCTCGAACTCCTGAGCTCAGGTGATCCGCCTGTCTCGGCTACTGCACTCCAGCCTGGGAGACTTGGTCTCAAAAATAAAAAATAGGCCGGGCGCAATGGCTCATGCCTGTAATCCCAGCACTTTGGGAGGCCAAGGTGGGCGGATCACCTGAGGTCAGGAGCTCAAGACCAGCCTGACCAACATGGCGAAACCCTGTCTCTATTAGAAAAAAAACAAACAAACAAACAAAATTAGCCGGGCATGGTGGTGCATGCCTGTAATCCCAGCTACTCCCAAGGCTGAGGCAGAAGAATCGCTTAAACCGGGGAGGTGGAGGTTCCAGCGAGCCAAGATCACGCATTGCACTCCAGCCTAGGCAACAAGAGCGAAACTGTCTCTAAAATAAATAAATAAAAATAAATAAAAATAAAATAAAATAAAGAAACATTGCATAGTATAATGGCTAAGATTGTAGGCCCTATTTCTTTTAAGCAAAATACAAAATCCAGAAACCACAAAGAAAAACATTTGATAAATTTAACTACATCAAAAATGGAAATTTCTTCACTAGAATAAAAAATTTCACAAAGAAAAAATGCCAACTGGGAGAAAAATATTTGCAACTCATATGACAGATAATGGACTTAAAAAAAAAAAAAAGGAGTTTTTACAAATCATTAAGGAGAAGCTGAATTATACATACCAGAAAAAAATACAAATTTATGTTTATATATTTGTTAGAAGTATGCAAATTCATAACAGCAAGATGCTATTTTTTTCTACTGGATTAGCAAAAATAAGGAGTTTACAGTATGTGGCACTGATAAGAATACGGTGAAACAGGAATTTTCATAGTGTTTGAGAAAAATGTAAATTATTGGAACCTCTCTGGCCATATCTATCAAAATTGTAATGTGCATTACCTTTTGAGCCAGAAATTCCATTTCTAGATATTTGTCCTACAGATATACTTGTACATGTCTGTAATGACTTAAGTATCAGAATGCGTAATGCACTGGGCACAGTGGCTTATGCCTCTAATCTTGACTACTCAGGAGGCTGAGGTGGGAGAATCACTTGAGGCCAGGAGTTCAAGATCAGCCTACGCAATATAGCAGGACCCCATCTTCAAAAAACTGTTTATGGCCGAGCGCGGTGGCTCAAGCCTGTAATCCCAGCACTTTGGGAGGCCAAGACGGGCAGATCACGAGGTCAGAAGATCGAGACCATCCTGGCTAACATGGTGAACCCCCGCCTCTACTAAAAAATACAAAAAACTAGCCGGGCGAGGTGGCGGGCACCTGTAGTCCCAGCTACTCGGGAGGCTGAGGCAGGAGAATGGCGTAAACCCGGGAGGCGGAGCTTGCAGTAGCTGAGATCGTGCCACTGCACTCCAGTCTGGGCGACAGAGCCAGACTCCGTCTCAGGAAAAAAAAAAAAAAACCAAAACTGTTTATTGCAGCAATATTTGCAATAGCAAAAGATAAAAAAGAATTTAAATTACTTTCATTGGAAAGATGAGTAAATAAATTGCATTACATTCATCCTCTGCAACTATAAAAAATAAGTTATTTCCATATGTGCCAATTATACAAAATTTTTTTTTTTTTTTTGAGATGAAGTCATGCCCTGTTGCCCACATTGAAGTGCAATGGCGTGATCTTGGCTCACTGCAACCTCCGCCTCCCGGGTTCAAGCAATTCTCCTGCCTCAGCCTCCTGAGTAGCTGGGATTACAGGCGCGCGCCTCCATGCTCAGCTAATTTTTGTATTTTTAGTAGAGACGGGGTTTCACCATGTTGGCCAGGCTGGTCTCAAACTCCTGACCTCATGATCCACCTGCCTCGGCCTCCCAAAGTGCTGAAATTACAGGCATGAACCACCGTGCCCGGCTACAAAATATGTTAAGTGGGGGGGAAAATCATGGTATACAACAGAGCATAGAATATAATTTTGTACTTTAAAAAGGCAAGGAAAGGCTGGGCTTGGTGGCTCATGCCTGTAATCCCAACCTCTGAGGTGGGAGGATTGCTTGAGCCCAGAATTTCAAGACCAGCCTGGGCAAAATAGCAAAACACTAAAATGCCAAGCATGGTGACATATGCCTGTAGTCCCAGCTACTTGGGAGGCAGAGATGGAGGATTGCTGGAGCCCAGGAGTTTGAGCCTGCAGTAAGCTATGATTGTACTACTGTACTTTAGCCTGGGCAACAGAGCGAGACCCTGTCTCAAAAATCTTGCGGGGAGGAGACAAGAAACAGAAGTATACACATGTGTGCTTGTAAACACTGAGAATATGTCTTTATATGGGTGATGTCCTCTGAGAAGGGAAGCAGCTAGGAGTCTGGAGTAGAAGAGAGCCTTACTTTTTAATATGTGCTCTTTTGTACTGTATTATCTTTTCAATAAAAATAAAAAATAAGGACACAGGCTCTGGATGTTGGAAACCTGGCTCCATCATATTTTTAGCTGAGTAACTTTAACCCTCTAACCCTCAGTTTCTGCAAATATAAGATAGGGCTAATAACTTTAGTCTATAGGACTGGCAGAAAGTACCTAAAATAGTCTCTGACCCAAAAAGTAGTAGTATTTGAGGCAAAACGCCCTGGACCAGAAGTAACTTTACAAGTAGCTGCAGATAAATCTCATGACCCCCTGTGGCCCAATTGCCTCCTGTCCCTAGTTGGACCAGTTGGTCCCTAAATCTCCTTACTGTTTTGTTTTGGGTTTTGGTTTTTTGAGGTGAAGTCTCACTTTGTTGCCCAGGCATGATCTCGGCTCACTGTAACCTCCGCCTCCCCAGTAGCTGGGATTACAGGTGCACGCCACCACACCTGCTAATTTTTAGTAGAGACGGGGTTCCACCTTGTTGGCCAGGCTGGTCTCAAACTCCTGACCTCAAATGATCCACCCACCTTGGCCTCCCAAGTGCTGGGATTATAGGCCTGAGCCACCGCACCCAGCCTCAGTCCCCTTATTTTTGTTTCCCTGTTCCTTTCAAACCTGTTTCTTGCTAGAAGTTCTAGCTCCCAAGTCGGGAGGATTTTTTGGGGAAGTAGGAGCTCCTGTGAATAGGTACTTTTGACACCCTCCTAATTCCATATCAGACCATAAAATCGGAGCATTACTCATGAAAAATGGAAACTGTAGTAGCAGACTTTTTTTTTTTTTTTTTTTGAGACAGAGTCTCTCTCACTCTGTTGCCCAGGCTGGAGTGCAGTGGCTTGATCTCAGCTCACTGACTGCAACCTCCGCCTCCTGGGTTCAAGTGATTCTCCTGCCTCATCCTCCCGAGTAGCCGGGATTACAGGCACCTGCCACCATGCCCAGCTAATTTTTTGTATTTTTAGCAGCAACAGGGTTTCACTGTGTTTGCCAGGCTGGTCTTAAACTCCTGACCTTATGATCCACCCGCCTCGGCCTCCCGAAGTGCTGGGACTACAAATGGCAAATTTTTGTATTTTGAGTAGAGACGGGGTTTCACCATGGTGGCCAGGCTGGTCACTAACTCCTGATCTCAAGTAATCTGCCCATTTTGGCCTGTCAAAGTGCTGGGATTATAGGCGTGAGCCACTGCATCGGCCTGGTGACAGATTTTTAAAGTAGGGGCAAGGAAAGGCATGATTGCTCAATAAATAGCCTCCTAGGCCAGGCGCGGTGGCTCATGACTGTAATACCAATACTTTGGGAGGCCGAGGCGCGTAGATCATGAGGTCAAGAGTTTGAGACCATCCTGGCCAACATGATGAAACCCCGTCTCTACTAAAAATACAAAATTTAGCTGGGTGTGGTGGCATGCACCTGCAGTCCCAGCTACTCAGGAGGCTGAGGCAGGAGAATTGCTTGAACCCGGGAGGTGGAGGTTGCAGTGAGCTGAGATCACGCCACCGAACTCCAGCCTGGCAACAGAGTGAGACTATCTCCAAAAAAAAAAAAAAAAAGCCTCCTGGGTTTCATAAGATAGTTGCCTGTTCTGTGGGTGGCGGCAGAGGGCTTTATGGGGAGCTGGGAAGGAAAAAAATGCTGGTAATCATTTGCTCTGGGAGGAATCATATCCGGGCAGTCTTGCCTGTCTGTGATCCTGAGGTCTCTGCCATGCTTTGGGACTGAATAAAGGAGTCTGGGAACTATGATTGGGCCTGAGAGTAAAGGGGAGTAGAAGCCCCAAGGCCATGTAACTAGGCATGGGGTGAGTGATAAACACAATGGAAAACCTATCTCAGTACAAGGGCCAGCGCCACCCCTGCCTCCTTCTCCAACCCAAGATGGCCATGCATTATTTTCTTTTTTTTTTCTTTTTTTCCCGCCCAGGCTGGAGTGTAGTGGCACAATCGTGGCTCATTACAGCCTTGACCTCCCAGGCTCAGATGATCCTCCCAACTCCAGCCTCCTGAATAGCTGGGACTACAGGCATGCACCACCAAACCCGGCTAATTTTTGTATATTTTGTAGAGATGGGGTTTTGCCACATTGCCCAGGCTGGTTTCAAACTCCTGGACTCAAGTGATCCGCCTGCCTTGGCCTCCCAAAGTGCGGATTACAGGCATGAGCCACTGCACCCAACCACATTATCTTCAGGAAGTCTGTGGATGTCCTCACAGATCTCCTCAGGCAGGAGGAGAGGGCAGTTCAGTCGTACTGAGAAATGCCGGCACAGTAGACAGGTGGTCATGGCTCTCTCTCTCGTGCAGGTGCTGAGCGCCGTCCTCAAGGATCTCTACCACCTGCTGAAGCACGTGGTGCATCTGGAGCCCGATGACGTGGCCAAGCTCCATGCCCAGTTGGCCCTAGAAGAGCTGTATGACATCATGAAAAACTTCCTGTTCCCTGCACAGAAGCTGGAGAAGAAGATTGTGGTCCTGCCATAGACCTGGCTCCAAGGACATGGAGGAGGCAGGCAGGGCCAGGCACCCAGAGCCACGCCCAGGTCTTCTGGCAGGTGTCCCTGCTGCCTCTTGAGTGCTGGCAGCATGGCTGACCCTGGGGGTGGCTTTATGGTGCTGGTCACTTGGGTCTTCAGGGTCCCTTCCTAAGGCATCTGTTTAGCACTCCCGCATTCAGCCTGAAGGGTGTGCAGTTAAGAGAAAACAACTAGCCGGGCGTGTAAACACTGAGAATATGTCTTTATATGGGTGATG